GGGGGGGGGGGGGGGGGGGAATGTGTTTGTTGGGAAAATGCTGCTCTTGCTCGCTGCTCTCCATTGCTTAGTGCCAGGATTTTCATACACACTTCGGAAGGTAGTGATTCTAATTTATTTTGGGCAACGATCGTGACTGGCAACTCTCATTAACTTTCATTCTCGTTAGACCCGCGCTGAAGTGTGTCATTGTGATCAATTAAAAACAGGTGTGACCACTTTGTGCGACTGCAATGCAATAATAAACTTTTCAATCGTTGCGTTACAATCGGGTTAATTCTTGAGAAGAAGTCGCTCGAGGATGGAATCTATTTATTTAATCAACCTCATATTCATATTTGCTGTGAACGTATTCTTTTTTTTTCTCAGGAATATATTTAAATTCCTTGGTCATACTCAGTTTCTGGAGGTCTATACAACTTCGAAAGAAATTATGTTATTTCATGATAATGCTTTTGTCCTGTTGCGATTTGCTCGCTGTTTTAACAAATAATCCATTGATGGCCCTTAACGCGATGTTACTGTTGACGGGAAAGTTGGATGGAAATGCTAGATGGCCTATTATTTCCTTAAGATTGACAGGTATTTTCCTTGTTTTTTCATCATTCGTTCTTTTGGTGATGAATTTCGATCGATATTTGGCGACATCTTATCCTATCTTTCATCGAACATCGGTAACGAAGGGAAGACTTTTAACTCTTCTTGCAATACTGATCATCGTCGACCTAATTTTGAGAGCAATGTCTGCATACGACTTTGTTATTTCCGACCAAGTATATATTCTAATTCTTTGTATTCTTCTCATTCCTGCAATGTTATTTTTCAACTACAAGCTGTTTCTAGTCGTCAGGAAAAGTCGTAAAAACAAAAGAATATCGCTCGATATGAAAAAGACGTTTTCTTTGAAAAATATATCGAGTTGTTTGCTGGCAGTCACTTGTCTTGTGGTGGTATCCATTCCAGCGTTCGTCTACATTGGATTAAAAATGAACTCGCCAGAAACAACATATATTTTGGATAAAGCAACCATTGCAGGGGGCTGGACTGTAACCATATCTTTGATGAATTGCACATTTAGATGTTTAATATTTTACTGGAAAAACAAGGTGTTACGTACCGAAGGATTGAAAGTTCTGAAAAGCCTGAAAATATGTCCACGGGCTGAATCCTAGCTGCACTAATAACCCTTCTTCAACAAAACTTAACGTTCGAAGGAAACTCACTAATAATATCTTGGCCATAGACGGGGCATAGTAAATGTGAACACAACGAACTATATACTGATATTGTTCTATATATTAATACGCATATCATCATGACTATAAGAAAGACAGTATAGCTGTAACTAGGGTATATAAGGCACTGTTATGCTTGTAATTTCATCCATTCCTGAAGATGACTAAAATGTAGTCGAATAAAACGTAGAAAAATAAAAATGTTTTCATTTCTTAAATATTATTTCGTTATACACAGGGTGTATAAAAAATTTGTTCTTGTGCGTTAAGTAGCTATCGTTTTAAGATTTTTTGTATCATTGCCTTAAAAACTGGCCTAATTCCAAGGAATTTCTCCTTGGAGGTATATTAAATTAAAATCTCTTCATTTTAGCATAATTTAACAGATTGAGCACTAAATATACTTGATAAGTTTGTTTGTCGATTGAGAAAGGCAATATTGAAAAATTTGGTTGAAATCAAATGGTATATTTTACTTGTTACTTTAGGGCGCATGTTACAAACATACAAAAATATCTGCTCTTAATTATGCAATATGAATATTCCAAACAAAAAATTGTTATGATTAATTATTAATTAACATGATTCATTTCTAAAAGTATTTGAATGATAGCTGAATAACTGTGTAAGAAAGTAATTTTTCAAGCATGAAAGGATTAGTAGGCTATAAATTAAGCTACATATTGCACGAAATTGAAGGCGAAGAAAAGTTTAAAGAATTAACATTTCGAGCTTCAAAAGGCGGTCATATGCCGACAACCTAATTCATGGTGATTTACATAAACTTTAAGTTCAATTTTCTCATCAAGACGTTTCACAAGCCATTTACAACATTCGTATCCGTGTTGTATCGGATATACAAACTCTCATCTTTGGTTTGGTTTTGGCACGGCCGCTCATGTTGTAAATAAGTAGTACATAAAACATTAGACTGGTTCTTACCTCAAGTTGGCCAACTTTCTCCTTAGTAAGTTCATCACTGCCAGCTTTGACTTCTTCATGAATTCCTTGAAGATCTTTCTCTTTGCCATCAATAAACTCAGTCGCTGTTACTTCATGTTGTCTGAACTCTCGCCAGTTTGCTATCACGGTATTCAGATACACCGTTCTCTTGGTTGCCCAGGCAAGCACCGCTGACCAGCGAGTCTGAAGTTCACGAATCTTTATGATAGTTTGTTTGTTGAGGTCACTCATGTTCTCTGAGTCTTTGACAAACTCCGACATTTCGTTGCGTTTGAGTTCCTCTAGAAAACCCTGAAGACGAAGAATTTGCATAAGCATAATTTATTATCTTGGCTCAGTAAATCACCACAAAAACATCTTATTTTCCAAAAGGTATTAGCGCTACAAGCGGTTTAAGTGCACGTGACTTTTATCTCTGTGGCTGGAGTTTGATTCCAATCAGTGTGGATTATAACGGTCGGCAATCGGCTATTTGCCGAACAAAAACACCAAATGGCCGATCAATTTCATTCTGCACGGACATTTTGTCCGATCA